ATTACCCTTAGTATTTGAGTTTGTAATTCAATCTTATAGAAATGTTCTCACAATAAAATTTAATCGAAAATCATTAATATTAGGTTCTATATTTAAAGCCTTACAAAATTATAGCCTAAGATCGCATAAAATCGACTAATGTCTTATTTATTCCTAGTGGTTAGGAGATATAAAGTTATTAACTTTATAATCCAAAGCAGTAAAAATATTAAACTTATATTTATGATATAAAAATTCTGTTTAAAAATAGTATGAATGAATAATTAATCAACTTTGAAAATTCAATATGCAATATAGAATTATAAATTTATGATAATTCTGAAAAATTAATTGAATCTAATAAAATATCCAAAATAAATTTTAATTAAGAAATTAAGGGTTTTGCCCTTGGGTCACTGTAATTTGACATCGATCCATATAAGTAGGAAAATAAAATTCAAGAAATTCTAGCCTATTGCAATACATCATATTAGGATGATTAATTGGCCTATAGAATAAGAGTCAATAGTTTCATGTGCTAATTAGGAGAATTCTATATTTATTCCGGATGTCATATATGTCAGCCATTATAGGGATTTTATTCTGTAACATATAACGCTACAAAATGCTCTATTTTTGATAAAAATAAATTTGATGCCATTACTTCTAATAAAATTTAACTCAAAGCTGGGTTTTGGAGGCCAAATTAAATTTCAGATATTATAGAATTGTGCTTTAAGAATCTAACTCATTGTGAAGGAGGATGGACTTTTGGAAATGATCTTTGTTCTTAGGGACATGTTGGAGGATTGTGCGAAGAATGTGATAGGTATGATATAAGAGGAGCGGGATCATACTTTAAAGATTAGAAATAACAAGAATGTAAATAGTGTTAAGAAATTTCAAAGTTGTTATTAACCTTTTTTTTAATATCAATTTGGTACACTATATATAATATTATAGGGCTATCCTTTCTACTTTATTAACCATCAGAAGTATTGAAAAATCCAATTAATTATTTGCATAACTTAAGGTTAGATAAAAATTTGTCGACATATTATTCAAACTAAATTAAGGTAATTTAATAATGTATTTAGATCATGAAAGTATTTTACTTAAATTATTTTTGAATTATTTATGGATTTTTTCTCTTATTTTTACATTTAATATTCGCTTCTCTTTCTCCTTGAATTTTGTAAAATAATCAAGCGATACATCCTATTTTATGGCGAATTATTTTGAATGTATTTTGGCTGAAATTTAAGGGATTGAGTTAATTTACAGTAGAATCTTGGTTATGTTTTTGCTAATGCTTGCATAGATATTAATAATTTATATTGGATATAAAGTTGTATCCATTATGACTAAAACAAAATTTAGATTGACAATCATATCTATTACAATTTTATATTTGTATATCTAAAATTATGCATCCTTGATTAATCAGTAAATTTAAATTTATAATTATTAGATTTTTTTCGATTCTGGCTGCCAGAAAAATATCAAATTTAGATTATATATCAGGTGATGTATCCTTGATATATGGGTCAGATAATCATATCTCATGGATATAAGGATTTGCAATTCCTGGATCAATATTAATTGGATTGATCATACCCTTATTGTTGTTTCTAATATTGTACTTAAATAGAGAAAACCATAACAAAATAATGTTTAGAAGACATCTAGGATATTTATTTAATGAATATACTCAATAAAACTATTTTTGGGAAATGATCAAATTATGGAAGAAAACTATTATTATTATTATTTTAATTTACTTTGAAACTGACATATTTTTGAAAGCATCATTATTAGGGCTGTGTTTATTGTTTTACTAATTGATTGCCTGGAATTCTAAACCTTTTATTCTTTTGAAGCTTAATTTATTGGACGTTTAGAGCAGTCAATGTTGTTCCATTGCAATATTTTTTGCAACTGTTAAATATATATGTGAATAATCAGAGTAATATCATTTTTCAGCTCTCATTCAAGGTTTAATCTTTATTACAAGCATTATATTGAGTTACCCATTTATTATTAATATTCTAAAACTCTATTATAAAAAATACAGGTTGCTAGTTTTAGCTTTAGTATTTTAAGGATTTAAGTCTTTCAAACCTAATTTTAAATTCACTAAGTTTTTTGGGGAAAAAATAGCAAAATTGAGATAGAAAGAGGATTAGACTCTAAGGAATATCCAAAAATTGAAGTCAATACTTTTTAGGAATAAATCGAATGGGCAATTGTAATAAATTTAAAGTTATTTTAGGGAAATAAACAACTTTATAAAAAGTAGTATGTTAAAAAAGAAATAAATATCAGTAATCTAAGATTGCAATATCAATAATAAAGTTTGATAAAATCAGTATATATGTAAATTTTAAACCAAATTTATTGTTTTGACATACCGCTATAATAAAAGATCGAATTGTCAGTACATAAATAAAATTATATCTATATAAGACAATAAATCTTACAAGTTGTCCATCTTCCTCTATGAAATTCAATAATTAAATCCAATTTATCTTGTGTTCTTTGATATTTTCAGTTTCATATATGAACGAATTATTTGGAAGATAATTTAATAAAAGAGTATTTAAATTGGAATATAAATAACAGCAGAGTTGACCTATATAAATATATTCTATTATATTTTCAAGTTTGATTTTCATATTTTAATATTTATTGTTTTGAAAATTATAAACATGTATATATGGTTTGAAATAATTATATTTAAACATATATTACAACAATAAGATTTTAAAAGTAATGACAAAATATATCAAAAATTGTACTTCTTAAGAAATTAAGATGTTATTTCATACAATTAGCACTCCGAACATTAATATACACCAATTTTTTGCAATACTGTGTGTATTTTCTTCGTTTTAGGTGGTATCTAAAGAATAATTATAAATAAAAAATACAATCTTGATACATTAATTTAAATTAAAGGAGTTAAAATAGGCATATTTTACCTCATGGTCTGATAGATTAAAGAAATATTCATTATATTTTTTTAATAATTTCTGATTCATGGTATTTAATAACATATTTACCTCAAATGAATTTGGTGAAAATTGTTAAGTAATACCATTTCAATTTATTTATTTGTGAAAAGTTTGCTATCTATGGTGTTTCAAAAAGCGATTTGACCTTAAGGATTTGCATAAGACCTTCAAATAATGAATCTTGATATTTTTTCTAAATGTTTACTTCTAGAGAATAGAACTTATCATAAAATATCAAAATTCTATCAAATATCCCAAAAATTTATATTTTTATTGTATTTTAGATCTCAAATGAATCATATCTGATATATTTCACATTCCTTTAATTGTGGCTTAACTTATCCACATAAATGAGGATCAGAATCTCAACTCAAATATTATCCAAATTAATAAGTATGACATAATGCAGAATGCCCTTCAATAAAATCCAACTCTATAATATATCAAAACCACCTCCAAATGTTGGTCCATAAGGAGGACAACAATAAATTGCATATTTAGAGTTCGACATCTTCAAAGGATATACTGAATCATGAGTTTATGAAAAAATAAAGGATGAATATGTAGGATCTTCTACTGAACTTGCGCTAGATACCCATTTACAAGGAGAATATACTCCAAAGGTAAATTCACTATTGGATAAAAAAATCATAAGTAGATTCTCTTAATTATTGAGGTTCTTCCAAAACGATTACGCATTTAATCCATCCCTTGAACCTTAAAATACCAAAGTAGAACTTTTAATCCTTTTCTTTCTTTTCTCTTCTAAAAATTAATAGACTTTCATCCAATATTCATCTGTGAGCAATTTTGGTTTTAAATTTAATCATAGGTTATCGAATTTTATTCTAACTTCTTAATTAATATTTCTTTAGTTTCTAAAGTGTCTTTCGTTTAATTTTCTAATTTTTTTAAAATATTCTTACTTTCTAATTACAAAGATTCAATCAATTGATCCATTCCACAATATATTTTGAGATTTTGAAAATCCTTTTAAGATTTACCAATAAGATTCTTAAATGTTTAATTTATATCGGAGGCTG